GAGGACAAGCTCAGGGCCGAGGAGGCGGCCGCGCAGGCGCAGGCGCAGGCGCAGCTGCCGGGCGCCGAGGATGCGCCCGCGCAGGCGCCTCCGTGCGGCCCCTCGCGGCGGCCCTGCGGCGACCTTGCGGCGACAGCGGCGGCGGTGGCGTTCGACCGCGGCGGCGCTGCGGCAAAGCGAGACGTGTTCGGGGGGGGGGGGGGGGGGGGGGCCGAGAGGGGGGGAGCGAGCAAGGAGGACAGGGAGAAGGGAGGAGGGTGGAGGGGGGAGGAGGAGGGGAGAGGATGAGAAGCAGGAGCAGCAGGAGGAGGGGGGGAGGAGAAGGAGAAGAAGGAGGAAAGGGAGGAGAAGGAGGAGGGGGGAGGGACGAGAGGGAGAGGAGGAGCAGCAGGCGTGGAGGCAGCTGGAGCATGAGAGGCATGAGCACGAGCCGTGGCAGACACAGCAGCTGCTGGAGCAGGCAGTTCCCATCTCATCCCTCTTCACCCTGCCTCCCTCCAGTTCCCCTTCCCTTTCCCTCCCTCCCTCTCTCCCTCCCTCCCTCCTTCCCCCTCCCTCCCTGGCCCCTCCCTTCCCATCTTTCTCTCGTCCCTTTCCTCGCTCCACTCCCTCTTCCGCCCCTCGCCCCCAGTCTCCCCGCCTCTCCCACGGGGGAGGAGTGGTGGCACGAGAGACGGCAGGATCGGGTCGGCAGCCGAGCAGGAAGGCCGGAGCGGGAGGGGAGGCAGGAGGCTCGACCCCCCACCCCCGCGCCCTTGGCACTGCGAAGTTATGTTGGAAAATGTAGGCGCAGCGGTTGCGACCACACGGCGGTTTCCGCGCAGACGTCGATGGTGCTTGTCTGACACATCAGCCATTCGTCGATGCCGTGCTTGGTTTGGGATCATGCTTGAAGCAAGTTGTATGCACACGGTGCGAGCTGCTCGAGACGAGACCGCCAAGGTTGGAGTCGAATTGCACCCACAGACAAGTCTGCACGACAAGCACCAAAGAGGACGTCGTTGAAAATTGAAGCGCATGTATTACCCTGACATACTAAGACGAAACGTTGCCTCTGGAGCTCCGCAGAAAGAGATGTTGCAGAAAGCTCATTTTCCAGGGCCCGCAGACATGCGAAGTAGCGAGCCGAACTGCCGCTGGTTAGCGTAAGCTTCATACGTTCAGACATGAACTTTCTATTCGCTCATGCTCGTCGCATAGGCAGACACGCTGCTCAAACGGCGCAGTGGCCAAGCTGGTGCAAACTTTCGCGCTAGAGCTGCATCCTCTGAGACGCGTGGCTGCTCGGGGAAGGCGTGCCGCCAGCGTGGGGCAGCGCCTCCCTCGTTTCGCCACTACTGGGCCGAGTGCCCAACGTGCCATTCCTCGCGAGCTGGCATTGCCAGAAGATACGGGTTGCCCCTTCACTGGTGGTCTACAGCACCGAGGGTTCTCAGCAAGTCGGGGTGGGTCTGCTACTCCGACTCCCAGAGCCCCACAGAACGTGCGACCAAGTTGACTGCCGCCGTCGAGATGACGCTGGTCGTCATGGGCACCGACATGGCTGAAAGGCTACATCCTCTTGACCACGAACTTCCGCGGGAGGTTCGTGATGCCGGAGCTTGATGTCAGCTTCGAGTGGAGCTACTCCGGAGTTCCGGTACTTCATTTTCACAATCTTATTCTTCTCCTCCGAAGCTGATTATGTCGAGCTGCGGGTCGATTGGATCGGGCGGACCACGCACGAAGTGCAACACTTGCTCGGCGATTGGATCACCATCCAATGTTGAATGGGATGGAGCCAGGCATCATAAGCCGCAACTGTTGGTCGCAAGTCGACCTTTATGGGACCCCGCATAGCACAGGAAGTCTCGGCAATCGGTTCGCAGGCAAGCGAGACCAAGAACGCTGCGGTCCGATGGTGCACGTAAACGTATGATATGATTTAGTTGTATGCATCGTGCAGATGCCTGCTAGCCCCTCTGAATCCAGTCGCACGTGCTTGCTTACATTCGGGCCCCTCGCGTGGACACGCTTGTGGGCACCGTCCCCGTCACGTCCCCTTCTCATCATCCACCTCCGCCGCCGCCTCCTCCTCCTCCTCCTCCTCCGTCTCCTCCTCCTCCTTCTCCGCCCGCTCTTCTACCGAATCCTCCGCCGGCCCCCCGGCATCCCTCCTCTCAGCTTGTCCCCCTCCCCCTCTTGCCCGTCATCTTTTCTCTCTGCCCCTCCCCCCCTCATCCGAGTCCTCTGCACCCTGGCCCCAGGGGGGGGGGCGAGGGGGGCGGAGGAAGGGGGGCGAGAGGGACGGGAGGGGGGGGAGGGGGGGGAGGGCAAGCTAGGTGCGCTCGCGTCATATCTAGCATCCTACACCCCCCTTCCCATCCCTTACCATGGCGTCGATCCCCTCTCTACTCGCACAGTCGGATGTCGAGCAGGGCAATGATCCCGAAAGTGTACGCGATGCATTGTAGAGCACGGCATGGCATGGCATGGCGCAGAAGAGCACCGCAAAGCGTAGTATCAACCTAGCATTGCATTGCATGCCGTGGCATGGCAGGGGAAATGACGCCAGCGCTGCAGCGGGAGCACGAGTCGAAACGAGCGGAAGCGCGGAAATGAGGCCAGCGCTGCAGCAGGAGCACGATTCGGAACGAGCGGAAGCACGGAAATGAGGCCAGCGCTGCAGCGTGAGCACGATTCGGAACGAGCGGGGCCCGACAATGAGGCTGGCGCCTCAGCGAGAGCAGCATTTTGAACACAAATGCAAGCGAAAACCCATATCCGGGGAAACCTGAGTGTAAAAAGACAGTACGCGGGGGGGGGGGGTCGAACACTTTCAAACCGTCATCAGGGGAAGAGGGAGAGTAGTATTCATATTGAGTGCTTGTGGAGAGGGAGGACGCAGAGGCTCTCCGCCCTCCCTCATCCCCCCTCCCGAGACTCCTCCCCCCCTCCATTCCCCCCTCCCTTCCCCTCCTCCCTCATCCCCCTCTCACCCCCTCCCTTCCCTCCTCCCTTCTCCCCCTCCCCCCCTCCCTCCCGCCCGATGTTCACTGCCGCGTGCCTCTGGAGGGCTGGGCCCCTCTCTCTTGGCGGCCAGGAGGCGCCCAGCAAGGGCCCCCCGGGAGGACGCGGACGTCCGACAGTTGGTCGCGATGGATTTGCGGTTAAGTCTGGCTTGTCCTTCTACAGGAGGAATGTTCAGAAATAGTCAAACAAATAGTCAGGGGACGTTTTGTTGATGGTTTTTGACTATGCTTGAACATGTTTGGTGTATGTTTGATTATTTCCCAACCCTCGTCTGTTGGGTATCCGGTTTGAATAGAGCAGTGCTCGCGCGTCCTTCCTTCCTCCCGCCCCATGCCTCTCGCCTCCAGCCCCCCCTCCTCTTGTCTCCTCTTGCCTTGCCTGGGGGGCTGCGATCTGCGAGATTGTCGCCACTTTCAAGGGCTGGTGGTGGGTCCAGCAGAGTGAGGCACCGCGCGGATCTGAGCGAGATTTCCCCGTCCCTGGGGGGCCTGTGATCTGCGAAACTGTCGCCACTTTCGAGGTCTGCTGGTGGGTCCAGCGGAGTGAGGCACCGCGCGGATCTGAGCGAGACCTCCCCGTCCTTAGGGGGCTGCGATCTGCGAAATTGTCGCCGCTTTCGAGGGCTCCTGGTGGGTCCAGCGGAGTGAGGCACCGCGCGGATCTGAGCGAGACCTCCCCGTCCTTAGGGGGCTGAGATCTGCGAACTTGTCGCCGCTTTCGAGGGCTCCTGGTGGGTCCAGCGGAGTGAGGCAGGGCTCCTGGTGAGGGTCCAGCGGAGTGAGGCACCGCGCGGATCTGAGCGAGACCTCCCCTGGGGGGCTGATTTGCGAAGCTGTCGCCACTTTCGAGGGCTGCTGGTGGGTCAGCGGAGTGGGGCACCGCGCGGATCTGAGCGAGACCTCCCCGTCCCTGGGGGGGTGCGATCTGCGAAACTGTCGCCACTTTCGAGGGCTGCTGGTGGGTCCAGCGGATGAGGCACCGCGCGGATCTCAGCGGACCTCCCCGTCCCTGGGGGGCTGCGATCTGCGAAACTTTCGAACTGCGAGAACTGATCTGCCGACTTTCGAGGGCTGGTGGGTCCAGCGGAGTGAGGCACCGCGCGGATCTGAGCGAGACCTCCCCGTCCTTAGGGGGCTGCGATCTGCGAAATTGTCGCCGCTTTCGAGGGCTCCTGGTGGGTCCAGCGGAGTGAGGCACCGCGCGGATCTGAGCGAGACCTCCCCGTCCTTAGGGGGCTGCGATCTGCGAAATTGTCGCCGCTTTCGAGGGTGGTGGGTCCAGCGGAGAGTGAGGCACCGCGCGGATCTGAGCGAGACCTCCCCGTCCTTAGGAGGCTGCGATCTGCGAAATTGTCGCCGCTTTCGAGGGTTCCTGGTGGGTCCAGCGGAGTGAGGCACCGCGCGGATCTGAGCGAGACCTCCCCGTCCTTAGGGGGCTGAGATCTGCGAAATTGTCGCCACTTTCGAGGTCTGCTGGTGGGTCCAGCGGAGTGAGGCACCGCGCGGATCTGAGCGAGACCTCCCCGTCCTTAGGGGGCTGCGATCTGCGAAATTGTCGCCGCTTTCGAGGGCTGCTGGTGGGTCCAGCGGAGTGAGGCACCGCGCGGATCTGAGCGAGACCTCCCCGTCCTTAGGGGGCTGCGATCTGCGAAACTGTCGCCGCTGTCGAGGGCTCCTGGTGGGTCCAGCGGAGTGAGGCACCGCGCGGATCTGAGCGAGACCTCCCCGTCCTTAGGGGGCTGCGATCTGCGAAATTGTCGCCGCTTTCGAGGGCTCCTGGTGGGCCCAGCGGAGTGAGGCACCGCGCGGATCTGAGCGAGACCTCCCCGTCCTTAGGGGGCTGCGATCTGCGAAATTGTCGCCGCTTTCGAGGGCTCCTGGTGGGTCCAGCGGAGTGAGGTACCGCGCGGATCTGAGCGAGACCTCCCCGTCCTTAGGGGGCTGCGATCTGCGAAATGGTTGCCACGTTCGAGGGCTGCTGGTGGGTCCAGCGGAGTGAGGCACCGCGCGGATCTGAGCGAGACCTCCCCGTCCTTAGCGATCTGCGCTGTCGCGCTTTCGATCCAGCTTAGAAGACTCCGTCGCTGCGAAATTGTCGCCGCTTTCGAGGGCTCCTGATGGGTCCAGCGGAGTGAGGCACCGCGCGGATCTGAGCGAGACCTCCCCGTCCTTAGGGGGCTGCGATCTGCGAAATTGTCGCCGCTTTCGAGGGCTCCTGGTGGGTCCAGCGGAGTGAGGCACCGCGCGGATCTGAGCGAGACCTCCCCGTCTTTAGGGGGCTGCGATCTGCGAAATTGTCGCCGCTTTCGAGGGCTCCTGGTGGGTCCAGCGGAGTGAGGCACCGCGCGGATCTGAGCGAGACCTCCCCGTCCCTGGGGGGCTGCGATCTGCGAAATGGTTGCCACGTTCGAGGGCTGCTGGTGGACTCGCCACTTTCGAAGGCTGCTGGTGGGTCGAGCGGCGTGAGGCACTGCGCAGACCTGAGCGGGACCTCGCCGTGCGTGGGGGACCATGTCATGTCGTTGCTGCCCCGCCGACGTTTCAAGCCCCTTGCCCACCTTCCTTAGTGATTCAAGGGTTCACTTAGTTACTCAGTGTTTTTCTCTTAAGTGGGGACCTGCGAACCTTCCGAATGCCGCTCGCAGAGGTATATGCGTCCATGTCACGTCGCCGCCTTCTCGTTTAATCTCCCAAGCTACTCCTGCCCCGCATTGCGCAGGGGTTGGGTACGTCGCCAGGGTAAGTTTAAGTATGTTTTGTGTATTTGTTATTTGTCGTCCAAAATCCCCATGTAGGGGGACATGCCCGACCTAATGCTGCGGTCCCCCCTCCTGTGAAGACAAAAAGAAAAAGCATAAGCAGAACATTGCTGGCGCTCCACGCGGATGTCTTGGATCTGCGCCGAACCCTCCTTGGAGGTCTTCAGTTTGGACCCCCCCGTCTATCACTCGGCGGTGAACAGGGCTGGTCCTGAAGCCTCTTCCTCCTCCTGAGAGCGCTCCTGAGGCATAAGTACTAGTCGCCGTAGTCGTAGTCGCAATCGTAGTCGTAGCTGTCGTCGTCGTTGTTGCGCGGCGGGTGCCGCGGAAAGAACTACTTAGTTTCCCTTTATGGGACTCCAGTCTTTCAATAAGGCCGCCGAAAATAATTAGTTACCTCCTATTGGGAGGGGGGCTGAAGACGTATCGCCTTTATTCTCGCCCTCGCAAGAGGGGAAAACATACAGACAAATAATTACGGATTCCGTTCTGAAAAATGGACAAGTATGGGAAATGGGGGGGCAACGAAACCCCATGAAACACAGGGGAAAAAAGTGAATGTTGGGACATGCTTGTATGCATTTGTGTGTCCCTGGGCCCCTTCACCCTCGTCCTCCCCTCCTCGCCCCCATCCCCTCCTCCCCTCGTCCCGAGACTTGCGCTGCCTGCCTGGGAGCTCCGCCACGGAGGTTGCTCGTCGGATGTGCGGCAGCACCGCTGGAGCCGTCGGGCGCCCAGCAGCACCGCTGGAATCGGACGTCGAGGGGGGCAGCATCCACGGAGCGAGAAGGAGAAGAGCGGTGTCTTTGGGGGTCCCCCCTCTGGGGTCCACCGGGATGCCTCCCACAGGCAGCCCGCCAACAGCGCAGCGCACTGGAAGAGGCAGCAGCAGTGGGAGCAGGGGGTAGTTTTGAGGCGGGGCCTCCCCCCCTTGCGAGCGTGCGGCCGCCTGCCATCGCTCTCTCTCTCTCTCTCTCTCTCTCTGAGAGAGGGCAGAGCGAGGCGGAGTTGGAGTCCTCTTACGGTGGGGGCCCATGGCCCACGCCAAGAAGCACCCTGCTCGCCTCCTGGGTGCCCTGGGTTTCGTGGGCTTCGATGCATTTGCTACGGAAAGCGCGACGTTCCCGCAGCGAAGATCGATGGACGCCCTGGGGTCTCAGGGTTGGACTTCTTGTGGAGGGTTCCCTGTGGACTGGCCTCCACTGTATACTGGCCGTCAGCCTCCCCGATCAAGCTGAGACAATCATTCAGTCGGGCGTGTCCCTCTGCAGGAGGAATATTCAAGAATAGTCAAACAATGGTCTGGGGACGATTTGTTTAGCATTTGTTTGCCATGTTAGGGGCATTGTTTGACGTCTTTTCCTTTTTTTTCATCCAAAACCCCAAAGTAGGAGGACAGTCCCGACTTAAGACAATCACGCAGGACGGTGGAGGCACTCTTCTGCAAGTAGCTTGTCAGCATCGGGCTGACGCTTCGTCCCTCGCGGGGCCTCTTCTGGGCCAGACTGGCTGCTGCTCGTGTGCATGCAGAGGTCTGGAAGCGTTGTTCCGACATGTGCTAGACGCTCCAACGGAGGAAAAGAAGGGCACCTGCCCTCCTGTCCTTAGCCTGCGTTTCCAGGTCTGGAGATACAGTCAGAGCGCTGAAGTAAGGACCATTCTGGGCTCTGGGGAGGGCTCTGATGTCCGGGCCGTTCCGTAGATCTGGATTGCGGGACTTATTCATGACCGAGGCTCGCCGTGGCCAGAAAGCCCCGCCACGGCTTATTTAGCCTTCCTAGTGGCGGCGCATTGACTGTTCCTCCCTTGGCGGCGAGCTAGGGGGGGAAATGAGAAGGAGAAGGCCTTCTCAGACGGCGGCGGGGCTTCTCAGAAGCCCTTGCGACTTCTGAGACGTCTTCTGCGCTTCCGGGGAAGACTCAGGAAACTTCTCGGAAGGCCGGGGAACTTCCGAGCGGTCTGAGAAGGCCGCCCCTCCTCACTTCCCCCCCTCGCTCGCCGCCGATTCTTCCCTCCCCCTCCCCGCGCTCGCGCGAAGGCTTCTGGCGCTCCCCAGGGCCATCCGGAGCAGCGCGCCCACCGCGAGGCGCAGACACCCCACGCTCCGGGCCTCGCGGCCCCCGGTGCGACGGGACCCCGCAGCGCCGCAGTCGTGTGCACCCCTCCTCCCGTCGACGGGGTCTCCACTCCCACAGCCCTCGGCATCGCTCGGACGTGTGCACCTCTCCTCCGGCGAGAGCCGTCGAGGGCCACCCTCTGGAGCACGGGGGCGGAAAAGCGGCGCACGAGGCCGGACAAAAGGCACGGGGAGTGGGCGCCCGAGCGGCGGCAGGATCCCGTCGACGGGGCCTCCACTCGCACGGCCGCCCGTGCGGCCCACGGGCGCAGCTCTCTCGCCGCCCGCCCGCCCGGCCGCGCTGCGGCGAAGGAGGCGCCCCCCACGAGCCGGACGCAGCAGGAGCGGAAGCGGCTCCTGGCCGAGGCCCGGCAGCGCGCGGAGCTCGTCGGGCAGGCGCCCGTTGGCCACGAGGAGGAGGAGGAGGAGGAGGAGGAGGATCCTCCTTGGAGGAGGGGGAGGTCGATGATCCTCTCCTCCTCCTCTTCCTCCTCCTCCTCTTTTTCCGCCTCCTCCTCCTCCGCCTCCGCCTCCTTCTCCGCCTTCTCCGCCTCCTCCGCCTCGTCCTCCTCCTCCTCCTCCTCTTCTTCCTCCCCCTCCTCGTTCAAATATTGCCCGGTATGGTATTCCATCTTCATGAAGACAATATGACAAGCAATGTGATCAAACATATGACGAACACGAAGCACAAGTCGAAGGTTCGTCCACCTCCAAGAGTGCCGCTATGCCACCCCAGCCGCGTACTCCGAGTCACACTTGATGATGATAGAGGCAACAGCAAAACCCCAACCAGACACGTCGGTATTTGGCCTGGCGGTCGCCGAACCAGCACACGACAGCACGAAGGCATCGTGCATTCGAAAATCGCCTGGGGCAGAATACTGAGGAAGCTGGTCACATCTCTGGCCTGCCAGAGGTCCTCCCCCAGGCTCCTGGCCTTCTGCCGGCGGCGCCCGCTGCTTAGGAGGCAGAGCAGCACGAAGAAACCGCTTCAGCTCCGCAGGGAAACGCGCATTTTTATCACATTCGCTGTTCTGGTTTGAGCAGCGTCCCAAACAAAAGAAACAGAAGGCCTGCAGTATCGCCCACGACGGCCCAAGAGATCCCCAAGAGAGCCTCTAGACGGCCTGGACGGCCCCAAGACTGCCCAAGGAAGCCCCAGTTGAGCCAAAAAGAGGCCCAACAGGCCCTCACAGGACTCCCAGAACGCAAACATCGCTTCAGTCCCTTCGGGAAGCGTACCTTTCCAGCACATTCGCGGTTCGGGTCTTCGCAGCGTTCAAAACAGCCAAGAAGGCCTCCAGTATCGCCCCAAGACGGCCCAAGAGACCCCCAAGAGAGTCTCTAGACGGCCTGGACGGCCCCAAGACTGCCCAAGGAAGACTCAACTGATCCAAAACGGAGGCCCAACAGGCCTTCACAAGGCCCCGAAGCGATTAGAGCGGTGATCAGAGAGGCCGAAGAAAGATCCAAAACAGCACAAGAGCGCCCCAAGAAGGACCCAGAGGGCCTCCAGCGGCCCCCAAGACGGCCCAGGAGGCCTTGAACAGGATTCTCAGAATGCAAACATCGCTTCAGTCCCTTCGGGAAACGTTCTTTCCCAGCACATTCGCTGTTCGGGTCTTCGCAGCGTCCAAAACAACCAAGAAGGCCTCCAGCATCGCCCCAAGACGGCCCAAGAGACCCCAAAGAGAGCCTGTAGACGGCCTGGACGGCCCCAAGATTGCTCAAGGAACCCCCACATGACTCAGCCCCCCCGACGGGGTTGCACAACGAGGACCCGCTCTTGCACCCATGCAGCGGGGTGGCCAAGGCAGACGCGCACGCGCTGTGATCCTCGATTCATGTTCCGCCGCCATCCGCGAGCGAGTGCGATCCTGAGCAGGCAAGGGTGCACTCGCGCGATTGGTGACGCGTGGCCATTTCGAGCCTCATCCGCCCTGCCGGGGCGGCCAGCTCCACGGCGCGGGTGAAATCTAGGAAGCAGCGACAGCTGCGCAAACCCAAGTGAGTCAAAAAGAGGCCTTCACAAGGCCCCTAAGAGATGCCCAAGAAGGCCATGGGAGGCGCCCCAAAAGGCCACGGGAGGCCAACAGGAGGGCCCACGCAGCCCCCGCAAGGTCCCTAGAGGACCTAAGCTCCCCACAACGGCCCAAGATGGCCCCGAGACGGCCCCGAGCCGGCCGGCCAACCAGGGCTCCAGCAAGGCCCGCGCGGCGTTTCCACCAATGGACCCGAATCCTGGGCTCGCAACGCGCAACCACATATCCCGGAAATCTTTTGCGAATCTGGGATTGGGCGCACCCCCATCGGGAGTGCGAGCGCAGCAATGTTAGTTGATCACTTCTCGTTGCCCCCTCCGTCTCCGAACGTAGCTTTTGGCCCCGAAGATCGACCGGCGGGCTTGGGGGTAGCCGCCAGATGCTGAGCGCGGGCCTGGCTCGCTGGCAGCGGCCACTCCTTGCGCCCCCGGCGGCGCCCCCTTTGGCGCGGCGGCTCGCGCCAGAGCCCGAGCGGCCCGAGGCGGAGGGGCCGACCGCGCAAGAGATCGCGGTGAGCGCGACCGGCCAGCTGTGGAGGCCCGCCTGGGCTCGGGGGCGCCCGCCCCTTCAGGTGGAGGGGGGCCCGCCGGGCTCGAGCCGAAGCAACCCTCGACGCCCGCTGAGCCCGCGGAGTGCGCATGCCCGGCTGGGCGCCCGGGGCGGCTCCCCCGGTCTTGCGGGCGCGCAGCTGCTGCAAGCGACGCGAGGAGGATGGCGCTGCTACCGAACGCGCGGCCGGTGGCGGAGACGGGTTCCGTCGGCACCGAAGCGGGCACATTGCCTAGGCTGCGGCCAGGGCAGCTGGTGGCGGTCAAGCATGAGGGGGACCCGCTCTGGCACGAGAGGTTGCTGATCGGGTCGAGCGCGGAGGAGCTCGGGGCGCTGCCCGGGTGGAACTGGCCCGTGAGGACGCCGGGCAGTGAAGAGTATAAGGAGGCGCTGGACGGTTGCCAGCCTGGACCTCACCGACGGGCGATGCTAGCTCTGGATGGGACGCTCCCCCGGCTGCCGAGGGGGAAGTTCCACCGCTTAAATGAGCATCCCACGAGCGAGCAGCTGGCGAGGAAGGCGGTGGAGCACTTCCGCGCCCAGGCCAGCGCGGGCACCCCGCAGCCGCTTCCAGGGGACTTCGTGGACGGCTCGGGGGCGGCGGCGCCGTGGCTGGCGGCGCAGGGCGCGACACGGAGTCGGCGCTGGCGTCGTTGGACGCCGCGGGCTCAGGTGTCGCAGAGGCGGCGACGCGGCCTTTCGGCCGGACACCCGCGGGCCGCTGCTGGATCGCGCGCGGCCGCGACGGGCCCGACCCGGCCGGGGCGGTCGTCGAGCCGATCGATGAGATCGACGCGGCCGTGAACGAGCACGCCAAGATAAAGCAGTACGAGGCCGGACTGCTCGCGAAGAGCATTTTGGCGAAGAAGTCAGAGATCGGCGCAGCATCTGGGCGACTCGGCCGCGGCATGCCTCAAGATCCACGCTAGTGGCGACGACGGCGCTGGCGATACGGGAACGGGCGATGCTCGGGGCGACGGCGCAGGCCAGGCGCCAGACGGGCGCCGCACGCTGTGGGTGGACAACGACCCGCGCGGCGAGAGGTTCAAAGAGTGGCGGCAGGTGTGCCTGGAGCCGCGGGCGGAGAGCTGGAGTGACGGCCCTGTCGCGGGCCCTGCCACTCTGTTGCGCTGGATGAACCAGACCGCTCGCAACGGCGGCAACCCGAAGTTGTGGCTGGCCGATTTCTGCCGCGATCGGCGGATCGAGAAGAGTGATCGCGTGTACCACGAGCTGCGCAATCTGGTAGAGGTCGTCCACATCGGGGGCACTTTCGATCAGCTGAACATGCCGGCGCTGCAGTGCTTCGAACGCATCAGCCGACGTATTTCCTCCATCGTGGACGCTTACAGCGGCGCGGGTGGACCCTGCTGGCGGACGGCTCGCCATTGCCAGGGCGCCGAAGGCGTTGTCGAGAGCGCGTCGCCAGCCTTGCGACAGCGAGGCATCAGGAAGGCGAAGGACGAGAACGAGTTCAGAGGCTCGGCTGGCGAGGACGAGGACGAGAATGGCGACGACACTGACAAGGCGGAGGGCGGGGCGCGGGGCGCGGCGGCCGCCGCGGTCGCGGCCGCGGCTCCGCCGCTAAGCAATGGCGAGCCAGGAGGCCCGGGCGCGCGCTCCCAGCCCGGACCGCCCACGCGTTGGAGCAGGCCGCGCCGCGCCGTCTTCGGGGACCAGAGACTTGTTCCCATTGCCGCGAGAGGCGGCGCCTTCGACCTGGAGGGCGAGGCGGCAGGCGGCTGGCGAAGTGGCAACTACGCCAGCGAGAGAGCGAACTGGTTGATAGCGCCCAGCAGGCGCTGAATTGGACTCACGGCTTCGAGCTTGGACATGAGGCCCATCAGGAGCGCGACGATATGCAGCAGGACGTGACGCAGTACGTGCATGGGCTGGCCCAGGGTGAGCAGCGCGCGTGCCGCGGCCTCGCCGCCCCGCCCGCGCAAGTGGCCCTTCGGGAGTGGCCGCGCGGCCGTTCCCTGTACGGCGCGGGGGCGGCCAACGATTCACTCGCGCCCTTCCAACAGGGCCGGCTGTCGCTGCCTGAGTCGGTCGAGTGATCTCTTACATCGGCGATGTCTGCGGCAGAAGGGGCCACTTTCTTGGAGCGGGAGGGCGAGCGCACGCTTGAGCCCGCCGGCGAGGCCCAAGCGGACCTCGCGCGCGACGGCACGCAGCGCATTTGCGACCCCGCCTTGAAGAACCGCAAGACCGCGCACACTTGCCTTCTGAAGGACCAGACGTCGCGGGGCCTCCTTGACTTCACGCTGGACCCGCTCGAGAGGGCGGGCATCTTCTCCGCGCGGAAGAAGGGGCGTGAGCGGCAGCGATTTATATGTGATGCACGTCGTTCAAACAAGTGGTTCAGGCGGCAACCAAGCGCGCACGTGATTACCGCGGAGGGGCTGAGCAGCATTGAGCTCGACCTGGACGCCGACGAGAAGCTCGAGCCCGAGCTCATCGACGAGACGCACGTGAGTTTGTCCGCGACGGCGGGGGTGGTCGACGTGAAGGGCGCCTTCCAGCAGCTGAGGATGCCCTCTTTCCTGCGGCGTTACTTCTGCTTCCCTCCTGCTCGGAGCGGGGCGCTGGGCCTGACTGGCAAGACGGTGGAGGGCCAGGTGCTGACGGGCAACGAGCAGGCGTGGCCGCGCCCCGCGGTGTTCCCCACGGGCTTCTCGCGGAGCCTCTTTCACTGCCAGGCCTCGGGGGAGGAGCTGGCGAGCACCGCTGAGCCGCTGGGGGTCGACGCCCTTCTGCGCGACCGCGGCCGGCCGCTGGCGCTGGGCTGCGGACAGCAGGGCCCGCTGCGCCACTACATCTACGCGGACAACATGGGCGTGCTGGGGACCCAGGGGCCTAGGGTCGAGAAGACGCTCGAGGGGCTGATGGACGCCTTCGCCCACGCGGGCCCGCTGGTGCATGAGCAGGCCGCGACCACGGGCGTCGTCGAAGTGCTGGGCGCGGAGATTGACGGGCAGTCGATACAGACCCGCGCCTCAGACAAAGGGCGACCGCGCGCCAGGCAGGCGATCGCTGGGCTGCTCCAGCGGGGGCGTTGCTCGGGCAGTGTGCTGGAGGGGCTGCTAGGACACCTCGCGTTCCTAGCAATGTCACGGCGCCCTGCGCTGTCCGGTTTTCACGCCTGCTACATTTTTGTGCAGCAGAAGAAAACCTTCATGCAAAACCCTTCTGGCCAAGTGTGATTGTGGAGTTTCGTGCGCTCGCAGGTCTGATTGAGCCTCTGCAGCGACTGGGCACGTCCATGGAATCAGCGTGTCCTTGCCTCAGATGCCTCCGACTTTGGGTTCGGCGCGACCGAAGCATGGTGGCCTCTTTGAGATGACGCAGGTGCAAGAGACTGGTCGGCGTCGCGAGATCGAGGGATAAGGTCTCGGGGACCGAGGCCGTGAACGCTCGCGCCTCTGCCTCGCGCGAGGAACATGCATCCTGCGTCGCGGATGCTTTCTTGATTCGTGCCGAAGGCGTCTTAGGAAGTGAAGGATCTGTTGGTTTAAGGGCGGCGCTGCCCCCCGGCGCCCAGGGGCTTGACCCGGAGTTTTTAGAGGTTCCTCGGGCCGGTCTGGACCTGAAGCTGTGGAGCCCGACTTTGGGGGGGCCCTGGCGTTGGAAGCAGGGGATTGCGCATGTCGAAGCCCGAGCCTTAGTCATGAATATTCGCAGGCTTGCTCTTCTCACCTGCGGACGGAACCTTCGCCAGCTGCCGCTGGTAGATAACGCGGCGATGCGCCTTGCTTTCGACAGGTGCCGAGCTAGAGACTACCTGCTGCTGATCAAAGTGCGTCGTCTTTGTAGCTGCTGCCTCGCTGAGTATATATATATATAGCGGTGGCGCGGTGCATGCCGTCGGAGCTCAGCTGCGCTGACAGCCCTTCTCGAACTCGCGACCCGTCGATGGGGGGCAGCGCGCAAGTCCCGGGGGGGGCAGTTTCAAGGTCGATAGGGGCACGGACCTGTTTCAAGGGGTTTGATTTGGATAAGGCTACCGTTCCCCCCTCCTTCTCGCCGCCTCCCGGTCGTCCGTCGCCGCCGAGCCCCGTGGCCGTTCGGGGTCAAACTAGCGGGGCTTTGGCCCCTTCTGGCTTCGATCGAGATCCAGTGGAGCCTTCTCCCGAAGCCGACGACGGGCGCGGCCCGCGGCAGGCCGCGGGCCAGACTGGAGCCCGAGATGAGGCGGCGAACGCTGGCGCCGCCCACCGCCCCAGCTTCCAAGAGCGCTGCGGGCGCCGCGAAGCGGGGGAGGGAGCTGGCGGCGATTCAGCGGGCCCACGAGCAGCCGCGGCCCGCGCGGGCGCGAGCGCTGTCAGGGGCAGCTCTCCCTCGCGGATGTTCTGGGCCCGCCTGGCGGACAGCGCAGCAGGCTCTGGGGGCCCTGGCGGGGCAGGAACCAGGCCCCCACGACGCCCGACGCGGCGCAGCGTCGCGAGTGGGCGTTGCTCAGCAGAGCAGCTCCAGCAGCACTGGGGCGACATCCGAACGCGCAGGGCAGCCGACCGGGGGCGAGAGCGCGCCCTTCGGCCTCGTCGAAGGCGCCGGGCGATGAACTTCGCGACGGAGGCCCACGAGCTGCTGAACACAGGAAGTAGCCTTCTCGAACAACGGGCCGCGCAGGAGCAGACACGCAAGCACTATCAGGAGGAGCTGGATCGCTGGAAGGGGCTTCAGCCGCATCGACAACCTCAGGGTTCTGACCGACGGGGAGGTCGACGAGTCGCCGGCGCGGCTCTTCGAGCGGGACCTCTTCCTGGGGGAGCAGGCCCACCGCGGCGCCAAGCTGATGGCCGCGCTGATGCACGCGGGGCCGCGGCTCGGGCGGCTCGGGCGGCACGGCGATCGCCGCGCCTCGAGGGCCTGGAGAGTTCTCAAGGGATGGCGGCGCCTGGCGCCCGGCCGGGAGGTCGCGGCGGCCCGAGCCCCTTCGTCTGCGGGCCGGCCTGGCGAACGAGATGGCGCAGAGAGGCGAGGCTCGGATGGCGCTGTTTGTCTTGCTTTCAGTCAGAACTTACCTGAGGCCGAGCAGCGCCCTCGCGCTGGGGCACGACAGTTCCCTGGCGCTGAAGACTGCCCGCGACATCTGGCGCATGCTGGTTCACCCTGCCGAGAGGTGCCCGACAAGATGGGCGAGTTCGATCTCTCGATGATGTTGGACAGCCCCTGGCTTCAGTCCAGCGGTCCTCTCCTGCGCTTCTTGGCAAGTCAGAATTCGCGGAAGGCGGTCTGGGGGTTCACGCACTGGGAACACCTCAGGGTGTTCAATGAATGTGCGAAGGCGCTGGGGGTAAGAGTGGTGCCGTGCCAAATCAGGCACTCGGGGGCTTCGATCGATCGCGAGAACCAGTGGAGGACCTTGAGCGAAGTGAAGCAACGAGGGGGTTGGAAGGCGGACAGCAGCGCGATGAGGCACGAGAAGCATGCTCGTTTTCGACAGCGAGTTTTGTTTCTCAGCGGGGCTATAAGTCAGCACCTACAGGCATGGTTGCAACAGCTAGAGGATGTCATCCTGCGGGGCAGGGTCGCAATGCGGCGCAGCTAGATGAATCGCGTGGGCAGCGGTTTATAGACGCGTTTCCGGGAAAGGGCGGAGTCGCGAAGGCATTCCGCCAGCAGGGCTACGCCTGCGAGAAGCTGGAGCTCAAGAAGGGTTTCGATATCCTGCATCGCCTGTCGCGTTTGAAGTTTCTATCGGATGCGAGGTTTGGGAAGATCGCAGGCGCCATGATAGCGTTGCCGTGCAACTCTTGATCGATAGCCCAAGCCGGTCGTCTTAGGTCAGAGCTCCATCCATTGGAGCTGCCAAATGTGCCGCCCCACCTGCAGGCCCGCGTTGATCACGGGAACGCTCTTCTGAATGTTATCGCGCAGCAAATTAGAAATTGCGTGGCCCACGGAGTCCCTTGGATGTTGGAGACTCAAGGTAGTTCCTACGCCTTCAAAACTCCAGCCCGTCAGAAATTGTCGAGGCTGGGCTGGTGATTCGAGGTTGTTTGTGGCCAGTACCAATGCGGCACTCGGTGGAGGAAGAGAGCCAAGTTTCTCGCGGGTAACATCTGTGCCGATGACTGTGGTCGGCTAGGAAAGCAGTGTCGGGCCCGTAGAGGCCTGTGCCCCCGCACGGGAAAAGCGCATTGGCACCTTTTCAGGAAAGTTTGAGACGGGAATTCATTGGACTGCGACCGCCGCTGGATATCCTCGCGTCTTGGCCCGTGACTTAGCCTTCGCCCTGCTTGCTCCCACCAGAGCTCGCTTCCAAGGATGCTGACAGGGCCCACTCGGGCCGGGACTTTTTCCTGCGTTGTGTTCTTTCGCTCGCTTTCCAGGATCCTGCTGTCGGAT